CCGGTAGGTGGGCAGGACTTCGGCAACATTTGCTGTATAAGGCTCACTTACAGACATTTCCATCCACTTTGGGGGGGGGGGGGGGGAGTATGTCTTATACACTAAACAATACGGTATATAAATAATCTGATTTATTTTGCTGACTACAAATTTAATGTCAAAAGCTTTTGTTTATTTTAGAATATTTTTATTATTTTTCAAAAAAATCCATTATTTTTATCATTTATGTATGTCTGAAACAGAATTATTACTACATAAGAGCCATATATTTTTAACACTAATTACAGTTACTAAGTAGAACATTTTAAGCTGTAGTTTGTTCAGCCACAGTTTCAGTTTTTGCTAGCTGGGTTTGTTATGTATTAAATTATAAAACATAATTAAAATCTGGATTAGCTGGGCAGCCTGGTAGATGGTATCAAAGTGGTAGTTATGGGTCTTGTGTGGGAGAACCCAAGATTTGAAGGATTCTTGGTGCTCTCTGAGCTTGCTTGTTTTCTTGCAGACGTTCCATTACCTAACTAGGTAATGTCATCAATGCTAGTAAGGAGTGGGGTTTGCTCTTAGTTATTAGAACCCAAGATTATCTGATGTTTTAAACCGAAGACTTCTTTTTTTCCTTCTTCTTTCTCATTTTTTCCATTGGCTGTTAGAACATTGTGGCTGTTGGAGCTGGTTTCTGTGATGGGCTGGGCTTTGGGGACAACACCAAGGCAGCTGTGATTCGCCTGGGCCTGATGGAAATGATTGCCTTTGCTAAAATCTTCTGCAAGGGCACAGTCTCTATAAATACATTTCTGGAAAGCTGTGGAGTTGCAGATTTGATTACCACATGCTATGGGGGACGTAACAGGAAGGTGGCCGAAGCATTTGCACATGGTGGAAAAGTAAGGGCATGTTTTGCTATACCCCTGCATGAGGAAGAGAAGTTGGCTGCACTTTTAAGATAAATCTAAATAGCCTAGTAGAGCACAATTTATGGGAAGTGGCCAGAGATGCTGCTGGCTGAGAGGGGGGGGGGGGTTCAACATGCTTTTGAAGTTGATTTGACATGTCTGATAATATCCTGCATATATTACTACAACTCTCATGTCTGTAACCTTTAACTGGACAAAATAGTACATCATGGGACAAAATATTTTTAACCAAGGTACCTCAAGTGGGCTAACTTACAGAAAGCATCCAAAATCTGGGAGCCATGATTTCCATGGAATTGACATTTTGGCAAATTTTATAAACCATTTAATGACCTAAGATGATCATAAAGCATTTTATGACCTAATAAAAAGTATAAACCATTTCCTATGCTCAATGCCTGATGTTTGACTGGGCTATACAGTTCAACATGAGCTACTTTCAAGGCAGATATATTTGTGAATATCTCCCTGAATTTTTAAGGAGGATATGAATTTTTAATTAAGAAGTTTTCAAGTACAGGTAACCTCCATAGTCCTGTTTTCTTGAAAGCCCTTATAATTAAAAAAAATAAACCCTCATCTTTATGTTTGAATTGAGACTGCTTTCCCACATTGTAAACACGGGGAGAATTCATCGCCTCTTAAGCAGATTCCCCATTATTCACTTTACTGCATCTCCTAGAGTTATCCAATTATCACTGAATTCATATTTCAAAAATGAAGATGGCCTTTATGTTGTTTTCAATGAAGATTGAATACTGTTAAAAGTCACAGTAGGTCCCTTAGAGTAAATCAATTTTGTGAACCCAGCCAACTGGTTCATTCAATTGTTAAGGTGTGAATGCAAGTTTAGCGCCACATGTAGCTTAGCTCTAAATTATAATACATTTCATAATTTTAAAACTATTAAGCTCAAGTAAGTTTAGAAATTGCTCCAAAATCCTGCTTATTTAGTTGTATTGGAAAATACAAAACAGGATAAAGGGTGCCATTTCATTGCTTGAGCTTTAAGACTTGTTCATCAGCTTATATAGAATTTAATGCCATTTCCCTTTGTTCTAAAACAAGCAATTCATACTTTGCCTATTTTAGACAATTGAACAGTTGGAAAAAGAAATGTTGAATGGACAGAAGCTACAAGGACCTCAAACATCAGCTGAAGTCTATAAGATCCTGAAACAGAAGAATATACTTGACAAGTAAGTAGTTTGTTTTTAGATACTAAATACACCCATGGGTCATTCAGAATATTTCAACTATAATCCTGTTTTTTTGTTCTAAAATTCACTAATCTAAATCTAAAATTTCTAGTGACTTGAGACTACAACTCAAGCTAATTCAACTGTTTTCCTGTCACCCTTATTGGTATAGCTATTTAGTTGTAGCACGTCCAAGTATTATACACAATAATACAGCAATCATATTTGTACATCTATGTAAACAAAAAATCCAAAGCTACTCACAGAGGACTTTTCTCACCATGCTAATTTTTCATTCTTTTTTTTAGTAGTGGGAAATTATATACAGATATTTAATTCCATATTTGTAGTATAAAACAACTACTTTCAAAAGATGGAACATATCTTTTTAATGTTTATGTTTAATGTTTTCATTTGGTCTCCATTTCCATGTGATTATATCATGATCTACTGCGGGTACATTGATAATTAAAGTTGGTCCACAGGAAGGAACTTAGGATGTCAATCTTCTTAGATGACCATTCATTGTCCTTCACAATTGATATTTAATTGATATTTTAAACTGATTATAGCAATTTGTAAACAAAAAGTTTCTGATTTATACAATTTGCACCCTTCATTTTCAACCAAACTGCTATTCACTATCCATGAAAAATTAAATATACGAATCTCAAGTTCAAATTTCTCAAGTTATCTAACAATCTAGTACAAACTTGGGGAATTTGATCTTGAGATTCCAAACTCGATTGCTAGATAGATACCGTAGATAACTTGGAAAACACGGATTGACTGCTTCCTCCTAAAGATTTTTTCATGCTCACAACCAATTACCTATCCAACCATCTATGGCAGCTCCCAATGTTTTTATTCTAAGGATTTCCTCTTAGACAGTTCGGTGATACTACACTATAGGGCAGTCTTTCTCAACTGTAACAACTTTAAGACATCTGGGCTTCAATTCCTAGAATTCTGGCGGGAGAATTCTGGGAATCAAGTCTAGACATCTTAAAGTTGCTAAGTTTGAGAAACACTGTTTTAGGGGTAATTAAGCAGCTGTTCCAAATCACAAGACAACGATGGGGTTTTGGTTCTCACTCATTATGAATGAAGTGATAGCTTCAGTATGTCTAATTGGAGGACCTTCTAGGTGCAATCTATGGCAACAATTCTGCATGCTTAAGAGCTATGAAATAACAGAAATCCAATAGTTAAACCTGCTGTATTCTATTTTAGCAGGCTAAGAGTAAAACTGTGCTTCGCTATTCAGCGATAGTAAATGTGACTCTCTTTAATAAGGCTTCAATTATGTAGCTGTCCTAATCTAAATATTCTGTAGTGTTTTATTATGAGACAAGTTCCATTATCAGTTCTAAGATCAAGACTGTGACATGCAAAAATAATCTTTATTACAGCCACTTCCACAGTATTGAAAAATCTGAAAACTAAGGGCATCAAAGCTAATCTGAGCAGTTGACCGTGATCTTGTACATTTAGGCTAGCAAAAATAACCTACTGTTTTCCTCTGTGTTCCTGTTGCTTTACAAAAAGCAATTTTATCTTCTTTTTTTTTTGGGTTGATGTTCAAAGGCCATTATCAATCAGATTTATGTGTTAAGCATGCAGGAAACTGACTGTACTTATGCTACACTTATTCAAGAGTGTATGGGACACAGGTAAATGATCTAAGTGCCTGATGGCCTCCAGATATGTTGGATTATGAGGGTTATACATAGGTCAGAGTAGAACACTGTTCTACAAAAATAAGTGTAACAAAATGCTAGTTAAAAGAAGATTGGTAGTTAAAAATTACCTTACTGATACCGATCCTTGTGTACACATCAATGATTATACAGGGCATGAAACAACATACTGATTGAAGATTTACCTTCAACTGCATTTCTCCTAGGTTTCCACTATTCACAAATATCTACCTAATCTGCTACCAAGGAAAATCAATCAAAGAGTTCATCACTTGCCTGCAAAAGCATCCGCAACATATGTAAGATCCAATCCTGTAACTCACCAGTATAGTCTGTCTCGACTCAAGATTTGTCTGCCTGACATGGAGAATAAAGCCAGCAAGCAAGGTGTCTGTCAACTTGACAATGGAGAATTAAAGCAAGCGCACATGCAAAAAAAAAAAAAAAAGCCCTGGTATTAACTTCATTGTGGTCTTAAGGGAAATTACTCTGTATTCCTTTTGAGTAACCATCTGCACTAAGTATGAAGACAAGCGCATTTCGGCATTGACTTCAGGAAACAATTATAAAAGACTATGAAGTGGGAATGTCATTTTCATCACTCATGTTCCATACAAAGCCTGTGGCAGCCTGAGCACTCTGCCAGTGAAAATGGGCTCCTGAGCTCCGTTTTCGGCTTTGACAACTTCCTACAACACTCTGCCAGGGAAAATAGAGTTTGAGAGGAACCTCCCAGACTCCATTTTCACTGGCAGAGGCACTGCAGGCCAGTCCTTTGCTGTTTACAGGGCAGCCCTGTGGGCCAGATCTAAGTACCCTGCGGGGCGGATCCAGCCCTTGAGTATGACACCCCTAATATATATCATGCCTTTTTTCTTCAAATTTCTCTTTGTCCACCTCTTACCTCATTTTTTTTCTTTCATACACATTGTTTAACTTTTCTACATTAATATAACCCCCAAAGACTCTTCCAAATTCTGCTGACAATATAAATCTCCGAAGGAAAACGATACATCATACTAAGAGGCAACAAGGTTTACAACATTTTTAATTTGGCTAAATTCCAATGAGGTTATTTAAAATATTATTCTGGATCATACAATTTTGATATGTCATTTATCATTCTACAGTATTTTTTGAAAGCAGCTGTGAGCATCTTCCATATTTTCTCAGTTGATAAACAAATGCATAAATAAGAGAAAACATTAACACTTTTTAGAAATAAATTTCTTTAATGGATACAACAATGAGCCCATGATGAACAGTATGCGAAAAGAACCTTCCACAAATTTAACATATGCAATGGAAATATTTTGAACATCAAATAATTAACCAGCTTTTAAATTAACTCACAAATAAATAGAAAATAATTCTGTATTTCCATCCTGTAGCAAATATTAATTTCAATAAACTGAAACAAGTTCAATTTGAGAAATGAAAATTACACATGTAAAAATTAACATTTATATTTCAGAGCATCAAACTACACACACGTACAAAGTGATCTGACACATCCCTCCCCGAAATTCAGGGAAATTAAAGAACATCAATAATATTATATTTTATAAACATGGGTTTCATCATATAAAAGCAAAATTTCTGAATTGGTGAATTACTTCTTTGTTTTCCAAAACATAATTACAATAGCATGAAATACTGAATTAAGGTTAAATTTAAGTTTGTTAAATTGAGTCCTTCCCATCGAAGTGGTACCTATTTATCTACTCACATTTGCATGCTTTTGAAATATTAGGTAGGCAGAGCTTGGGTAAGTAATGGGAGTACACCCTTTCACACAGCGCTCAGGTCTGGAACCCGGGCCGCCATATTTCCAGCTGACAAGCTCAGTGTCTTTAACTGCTAAGAACCTCAAATAATCAAATATTCAGTGTAATTATTAGTTTTAAAATTCTAAGCATCCTGAAAGATTTGATGTGGTTGAAGCCAAAGTAGGCATTATTAAAAAGATATTCAACTTATATAAACTAATGCCTTCACTTTTTTTCCTAAAAAAAAAAGAAAAGAAGCCATCTTTTATCCTTAGACACAGCACTGGTTTCCAAATGATCTCAGACCTGGTGACACACTATGGCAGGGTTTTGAAAATTGTGTTTCATGACACTCAAGCATTCTGTGACCAACCTGAAGGGGTTCCATGAGAAACCAAGAAGGGGAGGGGGGAAATTCACTTTTACTTTTTGATCAGAAATTTAGTTGTTTTTTTTTTTTAAAAAAACACTACAGGTTATCTTTGACTTAAACTGTTCATTAAAGATAGTTCAAACTTATATCTGCCAGGGAAAAAGTTCTTTATAACTTGTAAATTTGCCCTATTGACCATCATGCCATCCATTCAATCCCATGATTGCAATTCGGGTGCTTGAAAACCAGCTCACATT